CAGCCAGTTCGTGTACCTCGTCGACAGCAACATGCCCGACCGGAACCCCAATGAGCTCCAACATTAGTTCGCCGGATATGCCATCGAGTTCCTCCTCGGCATCGTCCAGTACATGTCTGCCGAATGAACAGGGAGGTGCACCATCCTTGGAACCAACTCCCCTCCAGCCCGTGGCAGGTATCACACAACGCGGCAACACGGTCCGCCTGGGAAGAGACAGGTGGCATCACCCGGATGGTACAGTCAAGAACCGCCAACGTGAAAGGCTGGCAGCCCAGGTTGCTCCGCAAGGCCAACTTCCCGCTGTACAAGAAGAAGAAGAAGAACCGCCCTTCATCGTACACAACGTTGGTACTCACCTGGGAGAGAATGTGATCCATGCCGAAACTTTCTATGGGGACAAATTCAAGGTATGGGTGAACCCTGTGGACACCTCGGACGCCTCAACCACCGCAGAAGAGGACGCCGATCTGGACCTGCTCCACTCCACCGATGCGACCACCGAGAACTCAACGACGCCCAGTCCACATGACCCAGGCTCTCTCGGCGATGTCAACTCCACGGATGACAATGGCACCACGCAACCCTCTTCTCAGGTTGGCTTTTGGCTACATGGCCTTTGGCAGCCGCGTGCCCGCACACCTGAGGAGGCAAGAGCGCACAGAGGAGGCTCGGGACCACGTCGAACACTTAAAAAGCAGATGAGAATGGACGAGTACTTCCAGGGACGCTGGAAACCGGCATGGCTCCACAACTACATCCAGGACAAAGCTCGGCGACATGCGCGTCAGGACCGGCCAGATCATGGAACTAATGCAGTTGGTGCTGAGCCTACAGGAGCTGAAATCCCTCCGCTAACTGACCAGCTCTCGTCCACCGGGAGCACACATGGTGTGAATGACTGGAACACGCACGCCTGGGCGACATGGTCGAACGATGGGACGACATGGTGGCCCTCAACAAGTTCCTCATCCGCGAGCTCGACAACGTGGGGGACGAGCTCTTCATCAGGATGGCAGAATTGGTCACAGACACGAACTGGGGAACCCTGGCAGGTGAACAACGAACAATGGGGCGAGTATTCGCACAGTAGCAGCAGGGAATGGACGAGCTGGCAATGGGCGAGATGGTTGGCAACCTCCTCGTCTACTACCTCTCTGGCCTCTTCGACGACCTCCACGTCCCTGCCGTCCCTGGGTGGCCACCCTTCCTGGCCTCCGGAACAGAGCACTGTGTTGCCCCCCAATGCGGGCCTGTACCCTGTGGTACGAGAGGTTGACCCTACAGATGAGTCCTCGATGATGCAAATGACAAACTCCGAACGAGCCAGGCTACAAGAACACCGTATCCCGGAGAACATCATCCGTCAACTTGAAATCATGTTTGATAGACTGGAAAGCATGCAAGACCATGGAGAAGGGCCGGAAGGACGCTGGGCCATTGGCTGCTTGGTTCGACGTGCCAGTGAAGGGATGGACAGCCTCGAGGTGATCCTGGAAGTTCTGGCACGTCGACTCATGCCGCGTGGGTACCTACCGATCCGAAGGGTGCCGACTTCAGAGTTCCGCAGGTGGAGCGTTTTTCAATGGGCCAGACAGCTCATCAGGCTGTTGATGGAACAGTTTGAAGGGCACCTGCAAACCCCTTTACAAGGCAGCGAACTTGAACCCACACCGCCCCTTGCTCCCTCTAGCCAGAGTAGTCGCGCAATGTCTGGCGACACGGTTGCATCTGACGCCGGCGAGCTCCCATCAGGTTCAAGTGACGCACCAAGGGGGATGTCCTCGGTCGAGGGAGAAGTTGAACCGGGCTCGCCGGTGATCTCGCAGCACAGTGCTGACCCTGGCTGGGAGATCGACTCTGACGGCAACATCATCGAAGAAGATGCTGATGAAGCCCTCCACCCCGTGGCTACACTTTCTCCCGCGCAACTCGCAATCCTGTCCCAAGCGACTCTTGCACCGGTGGGCATTTGGAGGGAAGTTGAAGAGGAGGAGACTGGCCAACCGAACAATACGGCTTCGTCCAGCACGGCAAGACCCAGCCCACTCGCGTCAACACGGTCAACGGCACCAACCTCGACGCCCTCTACCACTTTGCCTTCTTCCACATCGACTTCGACTGCGAGACCACCCTCCTGGATGTGGCCGTTGATGTCAACCCCGACAGCAGGGTGCCTTGAGGAAGCTATTCCACCCCCAGGGACAACTTCCACTACGTGCACGTCGTCTACTACACCATTCTCGCCGTTCGGGGGGAACACATCTGCTTTGGCGGGGGTGAGCTGTGTGGAGTCCTTGGCTGGTCTTGTAACGATGCAAAATGGGGAAATGGCTTTCTCCTCATACAGCTCCTCTACTCAGCCGGTGTACGAGCATTGGGACGATATAACCCTCGGAGACGCAGTGATGATGGTACAGTTTGCAGCACCATTGATGTTCTCTACGACCTCCACGTCTACCAGCTCCTCTCAAGTGATGCCTGCGGAGATTGTCCGGGATGCTGTCAACAGAGAGGCGGTGCAGGGTAACCAGGTTGATGTTGTCGACCTGGTTTGTCGCCTTCGCAACCGGCAAAGGCACCTTGCACATTGTCAGCGTCTCATTGGAGTGGCCATCGACGAAACCCTACAGTGGTTACGACAGCCCTTGTCGGCAGCGCCGTTCAATGGTAGGACTATGGATGCAGCTGTCTGGGAGGTCATTCGACATGAAAGTCAGTTTGGATCTGGTCCCTCTACATCCACGCCCTTTCACTTCGTCAGCAACCCCAGCGTGGTCGTCCAACCGAACCTGCCCGAGTCCATCGATGAGCTTGGTGTGATGCTCCCGGACCATGCGCCACATACCATTGCAGGCTATAGAAGACGTCTCTGGCGTGACGCGGTCAGGCAACTGTATGTGAACCAACATAGGGACGTGCCGGCAGGCAACTGGGAGTCGGAGGATGACCGGAATCTCTTTATCATTCAGGCCGACGAGAATACGCCCAGTTGCAGCTCTTCCTCCAGGCCACTCCGCACCAGTACTATTACACCATGCGAACAGTCGTGAATCACGTTATGGACGCAGGAGAAGACAACGACCGCGACCTCCGCCACGTTTTGCCCGAGAAGGCAATCTACTGGCAATGGTCTCGACTCCTGCTGCAGATTCCTCGGTAAACCAGTTGCCCGTCACTGAGATGAGGGACTACAGAGAAAGGTCAAGAAGCCGGGAGCATTCGGGCAATGAGTTCGGGGAAACGTTTGAGGAGAATGCCCGTCGAGCCCCGATTGATCGTCCGCACAACCTGCGCCGGCGACGTGCTCGACAGACCCGCATCTGGCCGGAACCTAGTACTACCTCTACCTCGACTTCCTCGCCTACCTCAACCTGCACTTCATCGCCTACGTGGTGGCCACTGGAAACCTCTGCTGCATCGTCTACCTCAACCTCCGGTACCTCGCCGACGCCGTCGTCACTGGGAGTGGAAGCGAGGTTGATGTCGCTTGAGAGTTGGTTCCTCCATCCACGGGATCTTCGGTGACTTCATGGGGAGTTGGGAAGAGTCGTGCGGCTGAAAAGCATGATAGTGTGTGCAAGTTCTTGGGAGTTTTCTTTGACGATGAGGGTGACATGTTCTGATGATAGACAATGAGACAGCGAACAGTGAGCAGTGTGAGCCCTCCTGGGTAGTGTACGCCTCTACTGAGGCAGACTCGTGCAGACGCAAAAGAGTCATTGCACTTTAAAAAAAAACCCCTAAATCCTGAACCCTACACCCTACAACCCCTAGATCCTAAACCCTAAACCCCTAAATCCTAAACCCTAAACCCTTTTGTCCGATCTCTCAGTCCGGGCTTGGCCTGAACCCTAAACCCTGAAGGCCCCCCAAGCTTTTAACACTTTGGAGCTTTGAACCCTAAACTTAAACCTCAAGCCCCAGACCTTTAGCAAAAAACACAGAACTCTACAACTGAAACTCCAGAAACAGCACCCCCTCCCAACAAAAACACAAAAACAAAAACAAACACCCCGCCACACTCTAGAAATCCTCGAGGCCCTACCTTAACCCCGAAATCACAAGAAGGAGCCCTAAAGTAGGTTCTTCAGGGACCAGGTAGACTTTACACCCAAATGCAAAGCAAACCCCAAACCCTGAACCCTAAACCCTGAACCCTAAACCCTGAACCCTAAACCCTGAACCTTGAGCTTTGGGCCTTCGGCCTAGGCTTTAGCGGTTTAGGGGTTACCTGGGCCCTCAAGAGCCTCCCTTTTTAGGGTTCCCTGGGGGGTTTAGGGTTTAGGGTTTAGGGTTTAGGGTTTAGGGTTTAGGGTTTAGGGTTTAGGGTTTAGGGTTTAGTATGACTTCTTTACATAAGTCCTGAAGAACCTACCTTCTTAGGGTTCCCCAGCATGACTTCTTTATAAAATTCCTAAGGAACCTACCCTTTCAGGGTTCCTTAGTATGACTTCTTCATCTAAGCCCTTTCAAAGGTAGGTTATTCGGGGTTGAGGTAGGGTTTAATTAGGGATCGGAGCTTGGGGATCAGAGCTGAGCTTGGAGGAGCGAGAGTTTCGGGTGTAGGTGTTTGAGTTTAGGTTCGGGGTTTAGGGTCTAGAGTTTAGGGTGTAGGGGTTTGGGTTTAGGGGCTGGGGTTTTGGGTTTCGGTATGACGGTTTAGGGATCAGGGTCTAGGGCTGAGGGCTTAAGGTTTAAGAGTTTAGGGTTTACCCATAGGCTCCATTGTAGTTCGTTTTTGGGATTACCTCATAGGATCCTAAGTATAAGCCACAACACGGAACTACACTGGAGCCTATGGGGGGAGGGACTCGGGTTTGGGGTTTGGGGATGACGTTTGAGGTCTTGGGGTTTACAGTTAAGGGACAATAGGAGGGAGCCCTAGAATAGAAGGGACCCCTAATCCGAATACCCTATATAACCCTCATATAGTCTCATAAAGCCCCTAAAACCCCAAGGGTCCCTTTAAGGGTCCCTCCTTTAGTCCCTTGAGACAGGCAGCAAGTGGAAAGGGGCGACTCGGCACGGAGATTCCGGAAGAGGCCCAGGTGCGGGCCGAATGGGTCTTTACCTGGGTTTAGGGTTTAGGGTTGAGGGTTTAGGGTTTAGGGTTTAGGGTTTAGGGTTTAGGGCCGAATGGGTAATTACATGTGCCTTTGAACTTGTTGTTAACCTTTTCCCTTACCCTCAACGGACTCATATCTTAACGCTTTTGGGCCCAAAGACCCTATTATTTTTGGCTTTTGGACTATTTTGATGCCCAGGGTTTGTCAATGTTGATTAAGGTTTTAGTGATTGCGGGCTTACGGGCGAAGGGGTTGAGGGATGAAGGTGGCTTGGATTTAGCTGGCATGTACCACGGAGGACCTTCTACAGGTCACGATATTGGTGGTGGGGTCAGGGTGCATCCTCCACTTGGCCGACCACTGAAAACCCATTCCTGCGCTTTTTCGAAAGCCCAAGGTAGCACAGGTATCAGCTTGCAGGCAGCAGAGTGGTGCCATGCAACCATGGACGAGCAGGAACTGGCAACAGACAGCCCCTCACCCCGTCCCCCTCAGCACCATAGAACAAAAGGGGCCTGCATTTTGGAACAACGCTGCTCCATAAGGTTCCTTACTATGTTACTATAAATCTACAGCAGCAGTAGTCGACTATAGCTGCGGCCCCTTGCAGGTCTGTGAAGAGGGAAGCAAGCCAAGCAGCGAACTCGCCTCGGCGGAGAGCAAGGCTGATGTTGGTCCTGCAGATATGCTGGCATCCGGGTCGTGGTTTCAGGGTTAGGAGTTTAGATATCGGGTTTGCTTCTTGAGTTTAAGGCTTGACAGGCTGAAGCTAAGGCTTAGGAGTTCTGGTTTCTGGATGTGGGCGAGTATTGGGTTGAGCGGCCAACGAAGATAGGAGGCACCATTAAGCTATTGGGTCCTGTTTACTAACTAACGGCGCCGTACTGTTCTTGTGTGCCTAAAAAGGGACCTCAACTTAGAGAACTACCCATTGCCAGAACGTGGATGTCATGTTTACTGAATCAATGTGGTTTGAGTTGCTGAAGGATTGGGCCCTCAAATGCCATAGCAGCACATCCCAGCTCTTGCAGGCTTGCGATTGTGGAGAGGTGAGCAGCGAGTTCACCCCGGCGAACGGCAATGCTCTGGCTAGTCAGGCTGCTGAAGGTTAAGGGTTCTGGCTCCTTATCTGGACGACAAGCGTGACTTGAATGGACATCCTTTCAGATATTCTATCTTTGCATACACTTATATGTCATTGCCAGTGTGTTCATGACTGTGCCTTCTTGCATCGCCCGTGACATCCTAACTCTTTGCAGGTGGCGTGTGGAGAAGGAGACGGGCTGAGCGGCGAGCTCACCCCAGCGAAGAACAATGCCCCAACTGGTCAGGCATCACTTCCCAAAACAACTGGCACGGTTTAGGGTTAACACATAGTTATATAATGAACCCCGGCAAGTTGGGACGTGGATGTGCAATAATCATTGCTGGGATTCGCTGTAGCTTATACCTCAAGGGCACGAAGATAAGGATTTACCCACTTTCTGGCTTCAACGTTAATCTGTTTAGTATACTGTTGCTTTCATGATTCGCACTAATACCACTACTTGGATGCAGTCAATACATCCGCTGGGTGTTCTCTTCTAGTTGTGATTGAAACATCTCCTATTTGGGTTTTGGCCTTGGGGTATGTGTTTAATCGGGATCTGCGAACTCTCAAAAGGTCATTGGCTCATTTGTTGACTGCAGTTGTAAGATTTCGAGGGAGTGTTTTCGTGTGATGTTCGAGTGCAGTTAAGGTCTCCAGTGGGTTTGCCCATCTAATACAGCTTTAGCCATGGTTTCTACGCGTAGGTTGACCGTGGATTCGTAAGGAGTGCGTAGAGACCAATATTAGCAATCGGAGCCACATCAACAGCATTTGACGTGCATCAATGTGACAACTTGAAGATCCCCGACAAGAGCTTCATTAACCCTAAACCCTAAACCCTAAACCCTAAACCCTATTCATTAGGTTATAAGGCTACCCATAAGCCCCGTGTGCTCGGCCACCTCTACAGAACTTCTGCTTGTTCAAAGTCCATAGAGAGCCATATCCCTAAGACCTTAAAGCCCACAAACTCCAACCAGAATACTGTGTCGTTTAGGGCTCCCTTAATCGTTTCCCCTTAGTATTAAACGGCCCCCCTCAATTCGCAGGATTCGCCTCAATGTGTTTTTTTATTACTAGAGGGATGTTCGATAAAAGGGGGAAGCGATTATATACCAACAACCTGTGCGAGGGAATTACACTGAACCCTAAACCTTAAACCCTAAACCCTAAACCCTATAAACCATAAACCTAAACCCTAAACCCTAAACCCTAAACCTATTACTTGGGAACTCATGCGCTCTCCAGCCCAGGAGACCAAGCTCCCGCTATCCCGCCCCCAGATACCCAGACCCATAGCATGGAAGCCTGAGCAATTAGCTATAGTCTCCGTTGTAGTTCCCTTTTTTTGGTTTAACCAATTATATATTACATATTTTATAAGGTATCCCCAAAAAGGAACTACAATGGAGACTACAGGTAGTAATGCAAGTCCAAAGGGCTTATTGTTGTAGAGTAAACTCATATGTACCCCAACAACCCTATTCTAACTGTTAAGGCACCCCCCCCCCCATGTTATATCCCAAGACCCTATTCTAATTGTTAGGGCCGTGAAGGCCACTATTTTGCAGCGTAAGTCTTGCATAAACTTGCCAGAATGTGAAGACTGTTCCTTTGGTGGGGTTCCTTATGAAGATTATTGAAGAATGTTGCTAAGGCCCCGTTGTTTAACTCCCTATGTTTCGCAGGTGTGTGAAGGAGGAGACAAGTCGAGCCTCGGGCTCGCCTCTGCGGAGGGCCAGGCCAAGGCATTTCCCATGGTAGCAGAGTTTAGGGTTTATAGGGTTTAGGGCTTAAGGGCTTCAAGGGTTCAGGGCTTACAGGGTTGCTTGGTTTTGGGGTTTGGGGTTTCGGGTTCGGGGTTTCGAGTTTAGGGGGTCCTACCGGCATCAAAGGGTTTCCACTATACGGAACATTTTTTCGGCTTGCGAGCATCTGAATCTTTACCGTCCAAAACTAACACCATGCTTCTGCCAACTGCGGCTTGTCACCAGGATTCGCAAGAGCACCGCCACTTGCTTACGATCAGGACTTGTGTTGGGCTTCAGGTTGTGAGGGTGAATCCTTGCGGGATTGAAGGGTTGGTGCGGCATTTTCAACTTAGCTTTGTGCCTGAGGGTGTGTCTTTTATTTCGTAAACCCCTGAACCACATTCCGATGGGATCTGGGATCTGTCGAGGATCTCTGGAACATACATATGACATGCAATATATATATATACACACACACATACATTACATATATATATATATATACACATACATATCATAAAAATTTGATTTAAGTTTTTCATTCACATACATGTTTGCATTGTATGTATACATAGAGAGCGAGAGAGAGAGAGCGAGAGCGAGAGGGAGAGGGAGAGCGAGAGCAAGAGCGAGAGAGAGACAGAGAGACAGAGAGACAAAGAGACAGAGAGACAGAGAGACAGAGAGACAGAGAGACAGAGAGATAGAGAGATAGAGAGAAAGCGAGATAGAGGTATAGAGAGGTAGAAACAGAGACATAGAGACATATACATCGAGACGATATAGATGTAGA